ATATATCATATGTTATATATTATATATTATATACTATATATATATAAATATATGTAGAATTATAATATGATCTATTATCTAAAGCATCTGTACCCTCTGGCAGGCTTGGGCCTTTAAGCCCCATGAGTCCCCGACCCTTTGTCTTCTTTGGAATCCCTGGCAGGTCCGAGAGGTCGGCCGCCCGGCTCGGGTCGCATGACCGAGCTTCGAGGGGCTCTGCCGCGCCGGCGAGCGTGGGGCGCTAAGTTTGTCAGCGCTCTGTGACTCTGTGAGGTGGTTTGGGGTTCAGAGGGTTTCGGGTTCAGGGTTTAGGGTGGAAACGCCCTTGTATCGCATCGCAGGATGCAGGCAGATGGTGATGGAGGCCCCGTTTCCCCAGGAGTTGCGTGCTGACTATTTCTTGAGATGCACAGGCTGGGGCGGACGTCCGCACAGGAGTGGCGCCGGCCTGAGGCCGGAGCGGCGAGCCTCGCAAGCCTGCAATTTTACTTCCTTCATCGTGCCACTGCCATCTCTTCCGTCGCTAGTGCCGCTTCTGCTTTGTTTTAGGGTTTAGGGTGTATCAGAATCTGTGTGTTGTGGCCCTGCCAGGCTGACTCCAGCAGGTGGGGCGGTTGTAGTAGTCCTCCGCGCCTGAAGTGAGTGCACTCGTCCAAACACGTGCAGCTGGCGCGAAGCGCCATGAGGATGAGCGGGGATCCAAGGGGCTTCTCAGTGGCGTTTCGCCTCCGATCGCCTGGTGGTCCCAGGTTCGCAGGCCGTCGCAAATATCCCGACGGCCAACGGCGTCCTTTTGACAGAGCTTGGAGCTTGAGCACTTTCGTGCCACTGCTACAAAAAGACCTGCTTTAAAGAGACCGAACGAAGAGTTGCCAATAAGGAGAACGACGAGTGGCACCGAGATCCGGAGCGAGCCAAGAAGGATAAGAGTCGGCTGGAGGCAGATGAGCCCGTGGTCTCTCCTTCGGTTTAGGGTTTAGGGTTTTGGGTTTAGGGTTTAGGGTTTAGGGTACCATCATTAATCAAGGTGATCGGTTGACATCAGGGGTGCCACGAATCATTCTCAACGTTGATGATTATACTGTAAGATCATGCATTTCCTGGTCCTGGGTGAGTTCCTGTCAGGACTGGACTCTGGCGGTAAATCTGCTGCTCAGCTGGGATGACCAAAAGACCATTTCGGCAGCTGACATGGAAGAGTTTCTCTCAAAGTTCCTCGAGGCAGGGCCAGTGTACGGGCTTTTGGGATTTAGTGGAAGGGCTTTAGGTGCTTGGGCTTTAGGGTTTTTAGCTATCTAGAGCTTGAATGTGGGGTTTGGGGTTTAGGGCTGTTTGGGTTTAGGGGTTCTAGGCCACAGTATTCGTGACGCCCCTTGCTGCAGTCAGTTGAAAGCCCTGCTGCAGTACGATGCCAAAGTCAAGCATCGGATCACTCCGCGGCTGACCTCAGAGATCTTTCTCAGGCACGGCGCTTGTGTATAAGGCTTATCCCAGTTACCCCTAAACTTGCTTCAATCCTCAAGCAGCTTTGAAATGGCCATCAGTAGAAACGATCCCTTCCAGCAACCCCACACCCCAAGCTGATGGCGAGCATCAGCAGAAGCGGAAGGATTCATGGTAGTTTAGGGTTGACGATTTCCGGGGGTTCAGGATCGTGTTAGGGTTGAACTCGAGCTCCTAGATTCTTTCCGTGGATTTGGCTTTGGGGTAATGTTGCAACAGAAGTACTGCCCCCCTTTCTTCCCTGCCAGTCAGTTTCAAGTGCTTTCAGTCTCAAAGTCTTTGAGGATTGAATTATGGAGCGAAGCATCTCTAGCCTTGATGTGCGCAGTTCTCAACTTTTTGCATGGTGCGACCGGGAGTGTAAGCCTCTAAGTCCCATTTAAGCTGAGCCGACCAGCATGAGCAGGCAGAAAAGTTGTGCCTGCAGGTGCAGTCTTGCAGCGATGTATGCGTTTCGCGGAAACGGGGAGGGAGTGAAGGTGACAGGACAAGGAGATGGGGTGGGCGCTTTTTTGGAGTATTGGGGCCAGCTTGCCACCCTGCCTGTTCTCTGTTCTGGCCTGCCCTTCCCTGCCCTGCCCTTCCCTTCCCTGCCCTGCCCTCGTGCCCCCTTTGCGCTGCCCTGCGCTGCCCTGCGCTGCCCTGCGCTGCCCTGCCCTGCCCTGTGCTCTGTGTGCCCTGTGCCTGTGCCCTTCCCTCGCCCTGCCTTGCCCTGCCCTGAACCGCATCCAAAATAAAGAGTAACCCTTGCAAAAGAGTTTATAAACCCCAAACCCTGAACCCCAAATAAGTCCAATCCAGGTCAAAAACATGCAGAAACTCTTGTAAAAGGAGCTTATGAACCCTAAACTCCTAAACCCTAAACTCCCAAGCCCTAAACTCAGCCCTGTGCCTTTGTTGTAGAACGCCCGAGAAAGAAAATCGTATCAGCAGCGGCTGTGACCCTGCATTCTATGCAGGGGAATCCTCCGGACGCTGTGGGACATTGACCGGCTGCTACGTCAGCAGCCCAGCATCTTCGCTTCTCTGAGTTTGGGGAGAGCGAGTGGTGGAGACTCTCAGGCTTCATGAACCCAGGGGACGAGCTTAAGATGGTCACGGCCAAGAGCCCTATGGTTTTGAGCATCTTGCGGGCGAGCACCTCAGAAAGTGAGATGATCTTCGTCAGTTAGCTGGGTAGGGAGCGCTCGCCAAAACAAAGGTGATGGCCTATGAGTTCATGTGGGCCCCAAGCTGCACGCCGCGGGGTGCAAAGGAAGGCAGGACGGCCTGTGTCTCCTTTGCACGTGTGATCCCCGGTGTGTTCATGAGCTGGAAGGTGCAAGAGATCTCATGGAGAGGGTCAACGTGTCTGTGAAGGTCTACAGCCTAAACCCTAAACCTCCAAGACTGCCATGAGCTTTGCTGTCCTGAGGCTGACAGAGACTGGATCACGGACGCAATGGTTCGGATGGGAGAAGCTTTCGAGAAGGCCCACACATAGCCGGATGGCCGACAAATCGTACACAGTCCACAAAAGTAAAGTTACTGTGTATGTTAGATATATGCCTCACAGTCCAACAGTTTATGCACGTCTATGCCATTGTGTCGTTTGCAGGCGCACAATGCCTGGGACAGGAAGCATGCTGCGGCCAAGGAGAAGAAGGCGGAACTTGCCAGCGCCTGGTATGGCCAAAAAAAGCACATCACCCTGTCAGCGCCGCGAGCGTGCAGAAGCCGCCGCTGCGGCTGCGGGAAACAGCGGGGACTGCCCTTGAAGTGAAGCTTCGTTCTTTAGCTGCGATCGTCGCAAACCAGTCTAGATGCGGAGGACTTGGCTGCGGGAGGCCGGGGTGCGGTCGCTCCTTGTTGTCGAGGGCCCTGAAAGGCTGAAAACCTTCAAACTCAGAGGTGCGAAGTTGAAGCTGGTGGAGAATGCAAAAGCCGCTAAAGCTGGAGCAGCTGCAAAACGGAAGCGAGGACGCTAGTAGTTTTTTTCGTCTATGAGCGAAGCGTCCTAGTGGCGAGCTTGGAGGAGCAGATGGAGCAAAGCGGAAGGCATTTGTGAAATGCTATCTTCGCTCCTGATTCGGTTTCATGATCTCATCTCCGCGCAGGGTGCCGATGCCCAGTTTGGCAATGCAAGGGCAATAGCTGTCAAAGAGCAGGCCAGGCTGCCCCCTTTCTTCCCCTTCCGTCTCTGCACCTAGTCCCTAAACCCTAAACCCTAAACCCCAAAACCCCAAACCCCAAACCCTAAACCCTAAACCCCAAACCCTCACCCCTAAACCCCAAAACCGCAAAACCCCAAACCCCAAACTCTAAACCCTAAAAAAAAACCCTCCCGCTTTTCTGAGCCGAGACGCGCTGGAGGCTCTGGCTGGCAAGGCAGAAGCCACGGAGTCCCAGAAGCCGCGCCTCCGCATCAGAGGATATATGATATATGATATATGATATATATATATATATTGATATTGATTGCATATATATATATATATATTGATTGTATAATATATATATACATATATTGTATATATATATATCTATTATATATATATATTATATATATATAGATAGTGTATATTATAAATTATATATATATATAATACTATATATGTGTGTGTGTGTATATATATATATTATAGAGTGTTTGGCGGCTGGCAGTTTCCTTAGCAGCTCTGGCTGCAGGCCAACGCGTGCGGCGGCTGCGGCCCAAGTGATTCCTGCCCAGATCTTTTCTGAAGGGCAGGTTTTGGTCATCTCATGAGTCCACTGCAGACTTGCAGTCGAGGTCGTGAGGCCTGCAGCTGCGCAGGATGATGGCGACGAGGAGGAGTTCGAGGGGCTCGGGGAAGATGGAGCGCCACGGAACTCGGAAGCGACGGCGGACGCCTACGGGGTGGAGCCGGAGGAAGGCGATGCCCCGGCGGAGAACGAGCTGGAGCCGGACGTGGAGCAAGCTGAGCAAGCGGAAGCTGAAGATGAAAATGGAGAGGCCGGGGGTTTAGGGGTGTAGGGTTCCTCAACCCTAAACCTTCAAGCGAACGGTAAATCGAAGTTGTTTGCTCTAGCCGATTGGGCCGCGCCCCGCACCGGCCCAGCCAAGCAACAAGCACAATTTCTTTGCAATCCCAGCCCAAGCCGAGCCCAGCTCATGCTAGCTTCCTGACCGAACTGTCGGTCACAACAGCAAAAGGCAAAACCCCGCACATAACCCGACAAGACTCCCGGCCTGCACCCTCGCAGAATTTCTATAAACCCCAAGCTCCTAGGTAGTATTAGGGAGGTCTAGGGTTTAGGGTTTAGGGTTTAGGGAGGTCTAGATCCCCAAGGGTCCCCCTAATCCTAACTCCCATAAGCCTAAGCCCCAAAGAGGAGGCGAAGGAGAAAGCTGAAGCGAGCGAGCCCGCCGAAGCGCCAGCGGAGCAGCCGGAGCAGGAGCCATGCCTCGCCGAAGAGAAGTCTTTCACTTCCTTTTTTTCATGGTTTCGGGTTTAGGTAGCATTTTACTGTTTTTATCGGTACCCAAACTTAATGATGAACAGAGGTTTTAATTCGTCAAATACTATCTCAACCATGAACTAGCTTTGGAGAGCATCAGGACGGGCCGGGCAAGAGCGAAGCCGAGAACTCGGGTGCCGAACTCGATTTCAACTTCGGATGCCTGCGCCAGACTCGCTGGAGCCACTTGTCTCATGGAATCCGCAGAGCAGGTGCTGGATCTGAAGGGCTTGGATGCGAGGCCTTTCTGAGCTCTTTGTCTATGAAAGGCAGGCCATTGAGACATCTTGACCGAGTGCAGGAGATGTCCATGTGGGCCGAAGAATGCTGAAGTCAAGATCCTCGAATTGCAAAGACAAGGCCCGCTCACCAGCCCGGCCGGGCTCAGTCCTGCCGTTTGTCCCTGAAAAAAAGGCGCAACAAGCGTTTGTTGTGCGACCCTCGGTTCTCGGAGAGCTTCATTATGTTATATTATATTAAATTATATTATATTGTATTATATTATATTCTATCATATATTATTATATTATCTTATATTATAACGGAAGAGCGGCCCTTGGCTTCGGGAGAGACTGGAGGTGAGGATCGGCTCAGCGTCCAAGCCTAGCGCTTGGGGAGCCGGGACATGACCGGCCAGCGTTAACGAAATGAAAAAGCGAGCTCGCGGCTGCGGCAAAGCTTGGCCTTTTTGTTCCTCTTGAAAGCTGACCGAGAGTCTGGAGTAAAAGCCCAGAAGGGCCTGCACTTTGCGCCTGTTGCCAGCTTATCCTATGGGTCGGGTTGGATCCAGCGTTCGAGGGGCAGGTCATGAAAGGTCTCTCGAGAGCAGCTTGCCCTGCAAAACAACCTAAGCCAGCGAACAAGCTTAGACCATCAAGCCTACCATGCCTACCCTAAACTTCCTAAACCCTAGACCCTTAACTCCCAACCCCAAACCCCCAAACCTGGAGTGTGAGCATAGAGATCTCAGGCGGAAGTAAGAGGAGCCATGCGCCTCCGCAGTGTAGGCCATGGCAGCTTTTCAAGCTGAAACCTTCGAGGCCACGACTCTCCACGGCTTTTGACAGCGTCCATCATTCTTATGGGTAGTTCTCTAAATTAGGGTCCCTGTTTAGGTCCCCAATCTAGTACGGCACCCTTATAAAAAGGGCCCTAAAAGGGATCCTGGTTTAGAGAACTACCCTTATCATCATGACTACTTCTACGGTTCGTCTTCGGTTTGATCGGTTACTGAGAGTACCCAAGACTGACTGGTTCTTAGTAGGGAGTGGAGGTATGGGGGACTACTATAGGGGGCCTTAAAGGACTATCATAGGGATCCACTCCCCCATTCCCTACTAAGAACCATCCCTAAACCCTAAACCCTAAACCCCATAAGCCCTAAACCCCATTCATTCCCTACTAAGAACCAGAGCAATGTCCCAGGACTTGCACAAGGTCGTCGCACAGCTCGCAAGCGGAAATGATTGTTCGGAGGCCGAGGCCGGAACCACCGGTCGGCGACATTGATCTTTTAGGGTTTTAGGGTTTAGGGTTTAGGGTTTTAGGGTTTAGGGTTTTAGGGTTTTAGGTTTTCGGGTTTTAGGGTTTTAGGGTTTTGGGGTTTAGGGTTTAGGGTTTGCGGTTTAGGGATTGATCTCTTTGACAGCTTCAGATGCCCGGAGTGATTGCCCCTGGTGCTTTCGCAAAGGCTTTCGCAGAGCTCCGGCAATGCAAGGAGGTGCGCAGCCGTTTTTACCCAAATGTGTCGAAGAGCCGGCCACGCCCAGTTGAAGCAGGCATTGTCCAAGCCTTTCACGTTCCGGAGCCGCGAGGCAGCTGACATGTAGAAGAACGCTAGGGCTTTACGGGGTTTAGGGTTTAGGGGGTTTGGGCTTTAGGGTTTAGGGTTTATAGATTGATATACGAGTTCCATCTGCTCTGGCCGGCAGGATACGATGGACCTACCGAGCTTGGCTCGTAGTATCATGGCGGAAAGGCCAGTTGCGCACAGCTGTTGCCGATCCTCGTCGTTTGTCGTTTGCTGCCTGTTTGCAGGCCGAGGCTGGCAACAGAACACTTGGTGAAGCTGGTTGACGAGGCGGAGCTGTTTCGCCATGCTGCCTCCCCGCGGAAGACAGTGCAACAGCTCACCTCGAGGTTAGTCGCGTGCTGCGCTTGCACCAGAGTGACTGTTGCACGCCTGGGTCCAAGTTTTCTCTGCCCGGCCATCTCAAGGAGAGCAGATGGGTAGCCCCGTTTTAGGTCCCCAACCTAGTACGGCACCCTTTTTAAAAAGGACCCCCCAAAAAGGGACTTCAATTTAGAGAAACTACGCTTCCACTAGGCTCGTGGAGCGTGCTCTGTCTCTCGGCGTGGCCCTGCAAGAGGCCCTGTCCTTGGTTTCGGCTTTGGATGCCACGTTCGGCCCTATAAACCCTAAACCCCTAGACCCTAAACCCCTAAACCCTAGGGGGTCCTGATGCAGGTGCCGAGGAAATGTGCTGCCATCTTCTACCGGGAGTGCCACTTCCAGGCCTGGTGAGTGGCCCCGGACTATCATTAAAGTATTATTACCATTATTCTTTATAACTATCAGAACTATCATTCAAAGATTACTACCATTTCCTTTATAATTATCAGAACTATCATTAAAAAGATTATTGCCAATATTTTTTTATAAGAATACTAATTGTGCCTTGCGGCTGGTGCAGCAGGCCCTCTGCCTTCACGACATGGGCCAGGGCCTGGCCGCGGGCCGAAGACTTCTCAGAGAAAATGTCGTTAAGGGAGCAGAGCTTCTGAGGCCCAGAACCCCCCACGGAAGTCCAGCCTGGCATTCTTCGGCCTCCTAGGAGGCATGGGGTTTAGGGGTTTAGGGGGTTATAGGGTTTTAGGGTTTAGGGTATAGGGTTTAGGGTTTAGGATGCCATGTGGAGCTGAGGGTGCGAGGTCAGGTCCAGGTATCTCGAGCGTTGCCGCACAGATTCCGGGCTTGTTTTCCTTGCCACACCTGCTGGTCAGACCAAGCAAAGCAAAGAGAGAGAGAGAGAGAGCGTGCCGTCCCTACACTGGATCTTTGCCTTTGACGACCCGCCCTTACCCCGCCTTTCCTTGAGGTATCTAGTATGTCAATTGTGTTCGATGTATCTTGAACTTTAGCACAGAAGGCTGGTCGTCTGAAACCGCACTGGATCGCCCGTGATAGCACTCCTCGCCACAAAATCTGGTCTCAGGTCACGCAAGGAGCGCATGAGATTATTGTTCACTCGTGTTGGGGTGGGGCAACAGGCAGTATAGCGTTGTGCCGCACCCTGTTCCCTGGACCCTGACGGAGAAAGGAAGAAAGAAAGAAGCAAAGAAAGCCAGTGGTACAAAATGGTAGCATCACCTTGTGAACGTTTTTGCATGCTTCTGAAGCTTCTTCGTGCGCATGTGACCAGAACCCTATAGACCATAAACCCTATGGCCCTTATAAACCCTATGAGCCATATCAACTCTACAAAGCTTATAGTCACATTATCGCCCCTACGTCCTATCAGCCCTACTTCGACTTTTTCAGGCCGGCGCTGCATTGCATCGCTTTTTGAAGCACTGGGCTTGCTCCTGCGCGATTTGACGGGCGAGCGGGCTGGAGTTCCCCGCTCAGCTGTCCTGACCAAAAGGGTTACCTAGACGGGTTTTACTTTATAAGGGCTGCTTCAATCGCTGTTGCTACTATCTGAGCTGCTAGAAGAGCTCTTCTGACTGGAAGGGTTCGGATCAGGGCTTGTATAAGGGATACCATAGTTGCTATAAATGGTTACCGTCATGTACATCTTAAACCCTGGATAAGTCGCCTAAACCCTGGAGAAGGCATGTAGACTCGGCCCGGAGAGCTGAGGATCAGGTCTTCCTCGTCCATGCCGGCACGATGATCCAGCTTCTGGTCCTGTCCTGATTGCTGCGACAAGCTTCCGAATCGGCGAAAGTACGGCTGATGATCTAAATCCTGCATTACCCATAATAAGGAATACACCATGATTCCCATAGTTTAGGGTCCTTCAGGTAATGCAGGATTTCTATCGTCAGCAGTATGACGAGCACATGCATCCTCAGGTGGAGACCTTGCTGGCATATTTCACAACCTTTCAAGCGACGGTGGAGGAGGCGGAACAGGTCCTCTCCTTGCTGCCGCACGTGGCCGGGCACCCAGACTCTGCAAGACCCCCCAAACCCCTAAACCCAAAACCCTAAACCCTAAACACAAAACCCTAAACCCTAAACCCCAAACCCTAAACCCTAAACGAGTCCATGTCAGGTCACAAGCCAACATGCTCCGATCGGCCAGGTGGGGGAGTTCCGGAGTCCCAGCCCACAGTTGGGAGAACTCAGGGAAGACGCCACGGCTTTGCCAGGGCTTCACGGTGTCTGACCTGGACCTGGTCTTGAGGGAGGAGCCTGGGGCGATAGAGCTAAAACAAACTTCGAAGAAGCATCTTGGCTTCTGTTTCTGGGCACGCGTAGCTTGAGAGCAGATCGAAGACGCAGGAGCACAACGATGTGAGCATCAAGCCTTTCTCTTGGACTCCCTGTCGCATCGATAGCACTTGCGAATTGCCGCTGCGAGGCTTTGTCTGGTCCTGGTGTGCATGTGCCACTCGCAGGCCACCCTTTGTAGTAGCCAGGAAGTGGGGTGAGGGCTTCACCCGGCAATCAGGTCTCCGGTGATGCGAAGCTCGCCCCGGCAAAGCTGCGTGAAGACGTCCTGCCATCGCAGATCAGACTGCAGGTGCCACGGCTACAAGCATCAAACGTCTTAGAGGGGACGCTTTGACATTATTACTATTATTCGTATTCTTATTCTTATTACTATTATGATTGCTATTATTATTACTATTATTATTATTGTTATTATTGTTATTATTATTTTTAGTATTATTATTATTAGCATCTTGACTTCAGGACTTGGCGGCAGAGGCGAGGACCTCTGCACCTTCCGCCCTGATGCATCCCTGTTTGGCTTCAGCTTGCTCCCTTGAATCGGAGCCATGAGGGACAAGCACCTTGAAGCTTACAGGGGGTGTTTCGCATTTTGAGGGGCTGGGGTTTAGGGTTTTTTTTGCGTTCATGGTGGTGGTTTTTGACATCGGCAACCAGAAGATTCCTAAGTCTGCGGAGAACTGAGCCCTGCCAAAGCTCGGCTCATGCTTTCGGACGTCTGCACCACAGGGCCCCCATTGTTGCAGGCAGGGAGCTTGCTATTGGGCCCGTTTGGCCGACACCTGAGATCTGTTGGCGCATTGCCCTCATCTTTCGCCCAGCCAAGTCTGCGACGAGCCATGTGGTCATGTACTAAAGTTACTAAACCCTAGTAAACCCTAAATCCTAAACCCCGGAAAGGAAAGTGGCTCTTTGTGAAAAGCTGTTTCTCCTCTGCATGCTCGCGTGTACTTTATAGTGCCTAGGAGATGTGCAAGCGCTGAAACGGAAAGTGGAGCAGTTGGGAAAGCTTCCAATGAGCAACCCAGATGAGGGAGAGGGCATTTTCCCTCCGCAAAGAGGAGAGCAAACGGAATATCGCGCAGGAAGGACAGGGCAAGTCAGATTACAGTAGGTGCCACGTGGAAGGGCTGTGCCCCAATGCAGCCGAAACGTACTGCAAATAGATCTTGTGGCCTTGAAACGTACTGGATCTTTTGCCATCGAGGCAGCCCTTGTTGCAAGAGAAACCTTGGGCTGCTTTGTGGTGTGCTAAGAACTACCCATAGGCTCCTTAGTAGTTCCTTTTTATGGTTCATAAATAGAATTCTACAAGGTAATCCCCAAAAAGGAACTACTAAGGAGCCTATGGGTACCTCTACTCTTCAGGCCAGAAGCTCCGAGCAGGCAACTACTGGAATGAGGAAAGCCAACTCGGCCTTCAGCTCAGAAGGAAGCTATGTATATATATATATATACCAGGGACCCTGGTATATATATATACATTCTGTACGTGTGCTCTTGAAGAGGGGGTTAGGCTGAGAAGAGCTGAGCAACCCATCGGCCGAGGCCAATTTTTATGTTTTGCCATCAGTGGCGTTCTGCTTGAAGATGTGGCTGCCTCGGGCTAGCCTTCCGCTGCCAGCCTGCTGGCATCCCTAGCATCTACTCTGCACCTCTTCCAAGGATCATGCGCTTCGTGGCGGCTACGTGCGATGGCACTTTTTCCATTTCCTTCTGCATGAGGCCAGCTTCCTCGTGGCTCCCGACCCCTCAAGAACTGAAGCTTCAGCAGCAGCGTAGGCGCGACGTGTGAGCTGCCGAAGCTGAGCAGGTGTTATTGTCAGCAGTGGCTGTACCAGACACCTGCTCGAGCCTCGCCAGATCGCAGCATGAACCTGCAGACCTGGGTGAGATCTTGAGCTTTCATCGTGAGAGGCACTGGCTTGTTGGTGCTGCGCTGTGTGAGCGAACTTCTCCAGCGAGCGCTGCTTCCGGCTTCAGACTCAGCAAAACAGCTCAAGGGATTGGGAAGTCCCAGAACATGACAGCAGGAAGTGCAGTGAGCGGCAGTATAGAGTATCAAGCACTTCGATTGGAGCGGTCAAGAAGAAACATCATAGCTCCCTTCTGCTGAAGCATGTCAAGCTTTGACTTCTGACGCCACATCATTGCTGGTTCTTCGCTCGAGGTTGGGCGACGATGGACAGCGGTGAAGAAGCTGGAAGCGCCAACGTCCCAACAGTTTGCGAGACGGTGCTGTAAGTAGCCGCTAGCCGTATAATATAATATAGTATAGTATAATAATAGGATTTTATAGACAAGATAAGATAAGATAACATAAGATAAGATGACATAATACATTGCAACTAGAAGTGACCAGCTCTCCCAGAGCTCAAAGCAAAGCTGAGCTTTGGAGCTTCCAAGGCAGGCTGTGCAAATGCGCCTGCTGACCCCCGACAGCCTTCAAATTTCTGCACTTCAAGTGCTGTCCGGGCCTCCGACCGTTGCGAATCCAAGTTCTCATGAGAACCGTGTCGGTGCGCAAGTGTGACAGACAGCTAGAACCTGCAATGCAAGAGTTGCCATTCCACACTCGGGATGCATTTGCCCAGGAACCGGTTGTGTCGTCTACACCCACCAGCTTGTGAGATTTTCCGCGATGTCGCATTGCAGTGCACGGATTCATTCCACTTGCCGGGAGCTTATTGGCGTCGAAGAGTCGGGTATTGACGGAGCCATGTGGCCGACATTATGTCATCTACGGTGTTTTCTACCGTTCTACCATGCATAATCTAGTATATATTGTACACTTGCCATTTTGTATCATGTATGGTAGCATTAGGGTTCCTAGAAAGGTTATTAGCTATCATTATTGTAATAATAATAATAGTTATTGTAATAATTGTTATGAATACTTTTGTTATTGTCATTACTATTACCATGACTATTTTTATCATGATTATTATTATGATGATGACTGTTATTACCGGCCCAGGACGCACCGCCAGATGGAAGGCTTCAGCCCCTGGTTGCGGACTCAGCAGCCTGCACACCACATGTTATCATCATTATTATCATTTTAATATCATTATTATTATTAGTATTAGTATTATTACTATTTTTACTACGATTATCATTATTATTATTGCAGCCATCCGCAATCTTAGTATGCTTCTTCCAGCTTGCCGAAGGTCAACAGCTGTTCCAGAACAAGTTCGTCCTGAGCTTACATGGGAGTTTCGCAACGTGAGGACCCCCTAGATAAAGTAGAGCCCCAATTAATAGGGTTCTGAACAATGCTTCATATGGGGACCAACAACAGGCCCCCACACAGCAGCAGTCGTAACGACACGAGTACAGTACAGAGAGCTGAAGTCTAAACCTTAGTTATACACGAGATCCGAAACTTTAGGCCTAAACCCTATAAGCCTACAGGCACTGTAAGCCCAATAAACCGTTTTAAAAGCTGTTTTAGCCCTATAAATCCCAAGCAGTTGAGCCGCGCTGCGAGGCAGCGGAGCGGTGTCGCCCTTTGACGCGACCTCAGAACGACGGGGAAGACTTCTGAGTTTGAGCAGCTGTCGATGGCACATAAACAAAGAAACGCATAAAAAGAATAACTATACTTAATTGAGTACGTACACGAATGAATTTCAATAACTAATTCAGCGACAGCGGCGGTTAAGAAACAGTTGGTTTATCCTGAGGGGGGCTCGATTTCTTAAAAATGAAGTGCACCTTTATTTACAAAAAAACGCTTCGGGATTTGAGGGTCCCCTGGATTTCTTAACCCAAATTTCTTGATTTGAAAGGGCTCCAAAATTAGCCGCAAAGAATCCCAAGAATTCTGGGGACGGAGAGATTTGAGCCCACAGCACCTTCCATTCTAGTCCGTGCGCTTATCCACTCCGGGATGGCATCCTCTAGGCTTCTTTCAAGCCATGTTCGTACATTATACAGCTGGTATTCAGCCGTTACCAGAACCCCCCAAAATAAGACATTGAGCCCCTCAATTTCTTAAGTTTAAGAAATCGAGTCCCTCAATTTGTATTCTGGTGGTTTTTTCGTATATGGCCAAGCCTCATTTAAGCCCTCTTAAGCCCTCCAAGGCAGATATTAGCGCCTTATTCTGGACGCTGGAGAAACTGAGGGGCACAGGGAGGTCCGAAATTCCTCATCTGGGTCCCTTGCCAAGCGCAAAATCAGTTGGCAAAAGACTGTGGGCTCGCATCCCATGGGTGTCTTTCCATGTTCCCAGCTTTGGGAATGCCGAGTCGATTCCCTTAGCTTCTTGGTTCTCTTGCCTTGCGCGGACGAAACCGGCGAAGACAAAATGAGAATTGCAAAATAAGAAATTGGCACGCCGAGGTCAGGTTACCCTCGAATATTATTTTAAATTTGCGTTTTTGTACGTACATTTTTGTAGCGCGGCTGTCCGAGGTGCGCAATTTCTTAAACCAATGATTTCTTAATCAGTGCTGTTGCTGTAGTTAAGTAAATAAACAAATGAATGAGTACATAAAAAAGTAAAATATGTAAAGATGCATTTACACATACATACGTATGTAACAACACACGCACACACATATATGTGTATATATATATACACATAAAATATATAACTAATATATATGTATATATACACATATATATATATGTACATACATACATACATACATACATACATACATACATACATACACAAATCAACAGAGATCATTAATTGACTCATTACTTAACATTAGTACTTAATTAATTCATTTTGAATCAACTAGTTATATATATATATACACAAATTTATATTTATGTATTCGTACGTATATGTATATACACATACTTGTGTATGTATATGTATGTGCGTGTACATATATATATACACATATGCATGTGTGTGTGGTTAGGTCGACAGACAGGTTGAGATAGGAAGGTAGATAGGTAGATAGGTTCATAGATAGACAGATACATCGATAGACCGATGGATCGGTAGATAGGTTCATAGCTAGCTAGGAGCTAGCCGGCTGGCCCGGTAGATGGGCAGTTAGATAGACAGAAGAAACAAGTTGATAAGGAGACAAGCACATGAGAGTACGTACACGTATGTGTGTGTTACATATATGTATATATATGGTAACCCACCCCCTATTGATCCACACTTCTCGATATGTCTAATCTA